GGAGAAACGAGGACTAGGCCTTGGCTTCAGAGCCCAGGTGCAGCCCCCTCACCTCTTACGGCATAGATGCACCACAGCATCCCGCAGGCCCCCCCTCTATGTTCCTGGCTCATCCTCAAACTCTCCGTTGGCAAGTTTTAATCATATATGAGCCTTTTCTTCATACCAAGTCCTTGGGAACCAGCAGGGCAGGACTCAGATTAGTGAGAGATAACTCATTCAATCACGCTCATAAGAACTGCACATTCAAGTGGGCTCAGACTGGCCCAACATGCTTCATTTGTTCATTCATTCATTCATTCATTCAGACTATTGTCTGAATTTCTCCCAGCCTCCCAGTAGGCACTAGTCAGCGTGTACCATCCGAGGAGATAGAAATGAGTGACAATAGTCATGGTGAGGTAGAAAGCAGGGAAGGGGAAGGCAGGCTAGGACTGCAGCCTGTTATTTGGGTTCATAGGTCAGGGAAGAAGACCTCACTGATAGGTGACATAGAGCCGGGGTATGGAGGAGGTACAAGAGGGAGCCAGGCAGAGAAACACAAGTGGGAAGGCTCCAAGGAGGGACTACCTAGGGTGGTCTTGGAGGTTAATGGGAGGACATAGTGAGAGATGGGAGGCCATGGAGGGTCCTGAGATCAGAATCAGGGCTAGCTTCTCCTCCAAGGGGCAGGGAGCCACTAAGGGATGGGAGAAGGTCTGTGACTTCAGGGTTCAAGGACCCTCTGGCTGCTGTTACTGTTGGGAACCACAGAAGCAGGGGTCCCACTGGTGGCTCTCACTCAAATCCAGAAGAGATGATACGCTTGGGGCAGGCAGTGAGTGGCAGAGAAGTACAGAGGGTCAGACCCAAGATTTTCTGAGGCTGATGTATTGGATGGTCATGTAGAAGCAGAGAGGGCCATGGGTGGCCTGAAAGTCTGCTCTAGGAGCTGGAAGGATAGACTTGTTTAGGGAAAAAGGCAAGATTGGGGAAAAGGAGATGAGCAGGTCCAAGAGTAATGAGGGGTAAGAGATCAAGGGGGATGATTCAGCACAAAGGCTCTCAATAAGTCCAAGAAGAGATGTTGGAGCCCCAGGGTGTGTGACAGTCCTGGGTGTGGTGGGGGGGAGGTATTCTGGGCTAGAGCGCAGAGCAGGGAGGCAGAAGAAAGTCAGCTGAGGCCCAAGGGAGCCAAGTCCAAGTCTTCACCCTGACCATCCCACAGTGAGAAGATGAGGGTACCAAAGACTGACTGATCCAAGGGTTGAGGAGGCATGGTCAGGGCGGCTACAGGACACTCAGAGCCATGTGAAGGGGCACTATGTCAAGAGCAGAGGATGAACCAGAAGAGAGAGTTTGGGGCTGCATGTAGGAGGTCTCTGGTGACTTTGCAAGACTATCTGATGGCTGGAGGGGACAGCACCGAGCAGGGATGCAGAGTCACAGCAGGGACAGGAGATGCCCTTTGCAGAGGTTTGCTTTGAGGGGAGGAGAGACAAGCAGTCACTGGGAGGGATTGGCCTTAGAGGAGAGGTACTGGGAGGCTGGGAGAAATTTCAAGGCATTTCTCGGCCAGTGGGGAGGGACCAGTAGAGAAGGAGGAATGGTGATTCTGGGGAGTGGGAAAATTGCTGGGAAAGTCCTTGGGCAGCAAGAGGGGTGGGCCTGGGGCCCCTGTGGTGGGGTCTCTGCCAAGTGAGTTCACCATGGTGCAGAGGAAAGGCCAAGAGCCAGGCAGGATCTAGGAGGTGGGGCTGAATTGGGGGCAGGGCACCAATCTGGAGGAAGGGGCAGTGCTGCTGCCTGACGGTCAAGGGCAAGGCACAAAGGGGCCATGGGAGGGGGGGGGGATATGAACCAGGTCACCTGAGCCACCAGGGCTCGCTTCAGCTCAGTGGTCATGGAGTCAGGACCTGGCCCCCAGTTCACGCACAGTAAGTGCCTTCAAGGCGCCCCCAATGGCACAGAAATGGGCAATTAAGGAAAGCCAGTGCTGAGGGATGGTGCCACCACCTTGCCCAGGTGCAGGCCAGCATCACGGGTCTCTGACGAGTGCCACACAGGCCCTGATTTCACTGTTCCCTGCCCAAGCTAGGCATGGTGCAGATGACGTGCAGGGGCTGGGGATGAGAGGCTCTGAGAGATGGTAGTGCTCCCCACACACAGCTAAGCTCATGTAGATTTTGTCAAACAATGGTGCTTTAGAGGATAGAGTGGGCCATCAGGGTGCCAGAGCCAGCAACCACTCAGTCCCGACCCCAAGCACTATCCACACAGGGGTTCATCAAGCACCCACAGCTGCTCCTCACGTTGTTCCTCCCAGGGTCGGAGGTTGGGGTCCCTGCAGAGTCAGGGAGCTATTTTACAGCTGCTTCCCTGGGCAGGTAGGCACACAAAGTGGGGACAGGGCCAAAGTGTAGGTGAAGGCTTGAAGAGGGTAGCCACAGTGACAAATATCATCCCAGGGAAGGTCACATCCATGCGTGACTGGAGAAAGGCAGGTGGCATGAGGGCTGGTCCTGGCTAGGGATCCTCATGCCAGGAGTAGCACTGGCAGGGGCTTCCTGGTGGACGGTAGTGGCCAGGGCAGAGAGCAGCCTCAGAGGGTGGTGTAAAAAGGTCATGGGAGCAGCATCTCCCCTGCCCTCCTCTAACTTCACAAGGAGGAGAGAGAATCAAAATGAACATCAAAGCCCAAGGCTGGTTTCTACAAGGTGGAGGTCAGACATGTCACCACCCTCCACCTTTTTACGAATTCTGACACCAGCCATCCCACCCAGGGCACTCTTTGCTTCTCTGCTGGGTTCAATAATTCATTGCAATGGCCACACAGAACTCACAGATAATACTCCTGAGTCTGGGTTTATTAGGAAAATAACAGATTACAATTCAGGCTCAGGAACACTCAGAATACAGTTCCTCAATCAGGATAGCTTCTCAGTTGTCACAGCTGTACTTCTCTTCTGGCCTCGGCCTCTGCTCTGCTCGGGCTGATGTTCCAAAGCTTTTTTTAGCTTTGCCAACTGGCACCCAAAGAGGCACCCCACCCCACCAGCAAGCCTCTTGCCCTAAGGCTCTCAGCATGCACACTCCATGGGCTAGGAAGCCCACAGCTCTGTCTGGTGCCAGTCTCTTGGTTCTGTTGGTTCTGCTGCCTCTGCTATCACCGTCTCTCTGCTGTCTCAGTGCTGGGATCTTGGGTCCAAGGACACATTCTACTTCCGGCTCTTCTCTCTTGATGGTAGAGAGATCCCCCTTTCTGCCTCTGGGAGGGCTCATTTTCAGCCTAGCAGGATGACAAAACTGACCAATTCCTATGTTAGGGTCCCATACACCTTATTTTCATGGTCCCACCCCCACAAGGGTACCATGTACCTTATTTACATTATTAACAAGCTATTCAATCTCCTTGGGGGGCCACAAGCACCTCACATTTCCATGATCCCATCCAGTCATCTGGTGGGAGTCACAAAGACCATGGCTGGAAGAGCCACTTTAGGTAATTCACTGTGCCAAAGGCAGGAACCCCTATATGCACTCACACACAGCACACCAGAGCAACGGTCAGGGCCTCTTGGGGTCTGATCCCAGCCCTGCCTTCTGCAACCTCATCATGTCTCCTGCTGTCTTTGAGCCTTGATGTCCCCAGTAGCATATGGGGGACAGAAAAGGGGTGAGCTGGTGGGGGGGGGCTCCGAGGCTCAGAGGAGGAGATGTGGTGCCAGGTCCGCCTTCTGCCCTCTGCACCAGGGGCAGTGCTGGGCAAATCCTCCAAGAGGAGCCCTGGCATACCACCCCAGCAGGTCCCAGAGTCACCTCCTCCTGTGCTGCCATGAGCCTAGCAGTGCCTGCAGCATGAGGTCTGTGTCTTCTGGCTTTCCAAAGCAGGGCAGAGGCTGAGGGAGAATTTGTAAACAAGTAGCCCTCAGTCCTTTCAGCTCAGCCTCTCCCTGTGAGGATCGTCAGGATCTGCTGCACCCTAGGAGGTGGGACAGTACTCCCCCAGGGAGGTGCTGAGGCCCAGCCCAGGAAGGAGGAAAAGTGAAGTCAGGGGAGGAGGCAGAGGGGGAAGGCCATCAGCTGCCACCCAGGAACATGGCCCCCAGAACAGCCCAGAGCCCACTGCCAAGCCCAGCCCTGTCCACTGTCAGATCATCCCCCTGAAGAGTGGTGACTGTCTGGCCAAGATCAGAATGGACTGATGCTGGGACAGTGGACTCGGCTCAGGGCCCAGCAGTGTCCATTGTGCAGGGCAGAATTGAGGGTCATGGCCTATGGAAGTGTCTTCTCGGTGCCCCCAGCCCCACCACCCTCCCTGCCAGCTCCCTCCCCAGCCCCTGATCCTTCACAACCTCCTGATGCTGCCACCCACCTGGCTGGTTTGAGAAGGCATCCCCTCCATAGTGACAAAGGGGGACGGGGTGTTGACAGGAGCTGAGGCCTGCCAGGTACCTGCAGGAGCAAAGCCTCCAGAGGCTGCTGGCCCCGGAGCCCCTCCTGGCCTGCATGGGCACCCCTCATTCTCTCCACCTCCCTCCCTGGCTCCTGGGCTCCAGGCAGGACAGGCAGGCAGGAAGCTCAGTGGCCCAACCACCTTCCAGACAATGTCCCTGACCTGGCCCCCAGGCCTCCAGATCCAGGACCCCTGCTTAGCCCAAGCAGAGGAGCTTGGCTGCCTGGATCCAGTGTTGGACCCAACACTGAGAGCAGACTAGTCCCTCAACCACCCCTGCCGGAGAGAGGGTGGCTTGGAGAGAGGCCAATGGGGAGAAGACATCACCATGAAAAAGAGACCACCATGACCAGCAAGCCAGACCTCCCCCTACCCAAAGACAGCCCCAGGCTCTCAGAGACTCCAGCCCAGGGTTAGTTTCTGGGAGATGGAGACAGAAGCTGAGACCAAGAGGGGTCCTGTCTCCAAGCTTCACACTGCTTCCCTCTGGCCTGGACAGGGCACCACTGCCTGTCCTTGGCCTTGGGGTGCTCAGCTGTGCACTTTCCTGTCTAGAGCCTTGGTGATGGACAAGTCAGAGAGCCAGATGGAGATGGTGGAGAGAGCCAGCCCAGCAGGGCAGAAGGGCCGTGGCTTCCTGGAGGGTGGGCTGCTATTTTTGCTGCTCCTGGTGGCCGGAGCCCTAGTGGCCCTGGGCGTCCTCTATGCCAACAGCAGAGGTGAGTGGGGACCCCAGCCCCACCCCCAGCACCCAGCTCACAACCGCTCCCCCGCCTCAGCTTCTCTTAGCTGGCAGCGCAGACCTGGGTGGGGGTATCTCAGGGTCGTGTGCCCCTAGAACAAACCAATCTTGGCGAATGGGGGGATCCTGCTCGGCAGAGGGGCGAGGACGCTGCAGAGGCGGGTTTCCGGGCGCCAGAGTCCCGGGGCGCTGCAGTCTGGGCGCTGCTGCGGCGCCAGGGAGGCGGGGGTTGGGGGGTGGATGGACTCTGCGGGCTGGCAGCCCGGCCAGAAGGTGCGCGTCCCGGGCTGCAGAGAGAGGCTGGTGCGGCCGTTCTCCGGGCTCAGCCAGCGGCTTGGCGGGCTACGGAGCCGCGGCCGCAGACTGGCCCACCCCCGCCCCGCTCGCTCCCTGGATCCGAGGGGCTCCAGTTCCTGGCTGCAGCCGAGCCCGTACTCCGCGCGGTGCGGCTGAGCTGGGCTCATCTTGTCAGTCCACCGCCCCTGCCGCCATCCTCCTCCTGGCACGCCAAACGCCTGGGCAAAGGGAGTTCAGGGATCCGGGGCAGGTGCAGCTGACTGCCAGACAGTGGGGGGCCAGGAGGGGCCCCATTGAGGAGGGACGCAGTGCCAGGGCTGCCCCAGGATCACCACCACAAGCAGTTCTGTCTCCGGGATGCCCAGGCAGATGTGGGTGGGCCGGGACCGCCTTGGGGACCCCCCTGGGTTCCGTCAGGACAGGAGGTGGTCACGTGCATGCGCTGAGCACCAGGCCGACCTAGTCAACCCAGGTTGCCCCTGCTGCCTGCCTGTGAGCCCCCGCGTGTGCATCTGGAGCCTGAGATGAGTCCCGGCCTGCCCAGCACGCATCCTGTACCCCTGCACTGCCTGGGCTTGGGACCTGGCACATTGGATGTTCAGCACCGCCATTTGTTGCTAGAAGGTTCTGACCTGGCAGGAGCAGCTGTACTGCCCACAAGGTCCCTTCTCAATCATCTGGCCAGATTATCCCTGGGAAGCAGAAGCTGGCATTTGAGGAGTTGGGAGTCCTAGGAGGCTCCCTTTGCTGGCGTGTGGGCATCTCTGGCCAGTGGTGCAGAGGCTCCAGGAGGGATCTCTCTGCCATGTGGCTGCTGCTCAGCACCCCCAGGTCTCTAGACCATCCAGGCCTCCTGCCAGGGTGGTCATCCAAGCCACATGCCAACCCCATGATTGAGGCCAGGAGGGGTTCTCACTTTGAAAAGAGCTTAGGGAACCCCAGGCCCCAGGAGCCCTGGGGGGGCAGTTTGGGGTGCAAGGGAACCCTGTACAGTCTGGGGAGTAGCAAGAGGCAGGAGCACACTCTGACAAGAGAGACCCATCTGCCAAGCCTGCCTCCTCTTCCTCTTAGTCTTGCAATCTACCTGCCCCTCCAATACTGTGTTCCTAGGGGCCTTCCTGGCCCTCTCCAAAACCACCCACTGGGTCCTTCCACAATCAGGACCTCTGTGCCTGACGCTTGTCCAGTGAATCAGTGAATGGATGAATGGAGGTCCAATAGTGTCTTCAGGTCCTGGTTGAGCTCCAAGCCTGCCTCCCAGCCCTGGGCCAGAAAGAGTATCAGGGTGAGGCAATGGGAAATATGGGTCCCCTTTGTTGGGGGGATGGGTGAGGGTAGTGTTGTAAGTGGAGTTATGAAATAATGACTAGAAAGTCAGCTGTAGCTCAGAGAGAAAGTTAGTAAGACGATAGTAACCTTGCAAGGTGGAGACACACAGGGCCAGAGGCAGTGTCATGTGTGTCTCTCCAAGCCTTACGTGCTAGGGGCTTTTATAATAGTTTTAAGGCCATGTAGTACATGATTTCAAAAGACTTTATGTAGGCAGGATACTCATAAAATCCTGACCCTTTTGCAAAAGTCAGGAAGGGGAATGAGGCTGTGATAAATTCCTAAGACAGATCTCAACTTCCTTCAGCCTAGTTTCATCGCAGTCTCTTTCTAAGATGGAGTCTGTGTGTTCCAACATGGATGCCGTGGCTTCTTCCGCACAGGCGTATTTTGCTGTTTGCTCTTGGTTCGAGTCTTGGTCTTGTCTTGGATCAGCCATCTTAGTTCATCTGGTGATTAAGGAGGATGCACAGACTCCAAAACCAGTTAACACCAACCCTGGGTAGTGAGCTAGAAGACATCTCAAGAATGGCCTATCATCAGGAAATCCCATCAAAGTAGTAATTTTACATTTGCGTTATTTCTTTTGCAGTTTCCCTTCTTTGGTCTCAGCTCCAGATCTGAGGAATGTGGTTGCCGGGGCAGGATTCTTATGTGATTATAGCTACAAGTAGTGGAATAAAACAATGTTTAAATTTAACAAGATTAATATAGAGCTTTAGGTTATGATGTTAGAACATATATTCATCTTCCAGAAATTCTAATTTGTCTATACTATTACAGTAGATCCCAAGAAAACAGCCCAAGGCTGTGCTGTCCATGGAGGGGCATGTGGCCAAGTTTGAGAGCAACATGAGAACAGGGACATACCCTCATCCTACGCACACACACCCCCTAGGCCAGCAGCAGGATGTCCTGGGCTGAGGAGCTGGAGGCTGGACCTGGGGAAGGGTAACAGCCCTTGTAAGCTTCCAAATGATGAGCTACATGCCCTGCTCAGAAGGTCCTCTCCCCAACTCTTAGTTCTGAGAGGCTCAAAGAGGCTTCAGGGTCTAGAGAGGGGGCACCATGGCCTCCATCCATTCCTCCACTGATTCACAAAAGCATTCTCAGAGCCTCTCAGAGTGCAGAGGAGAACAAGAGCAGGCTGGACCTAAAGAGCTCGTCATTTGGGGTGGGGGAGGGAGGAGCAGAAAAAGTACAGAAATAATCACAGTTGCTAAAGCTGAGTAGCACTAGCCAAATACCAGGGCTGGTCCAAGCCCAGTGTATACACCAGCTTTTTCAACCTCACTGCAGCCCTATGAGGCAGGTCCTGTCTGATCCCCATTTGCAAAGGAGGGCCCTGAGACTCAGAGAGGTTAGAGAACCCATCCAGGGTCCCATAGGGGAAGCTGTAGAGCCAGGGTATGCACATGTGCAATCATTAATTACCATATGCTCACCTTGTGCCAGGCACCAGGTGTTGGTGCCTGCATTCTCCTGCAAAAGCCCCAGGAGCCTGGAGAGGAAGGGGCAGGACCCCTCATGGTGAAGCTGTGAGGGAGGTGCTTGGGGTCCTCTAACTTGGGAGGTACCAGGGACGGCTCCCAGAGGAGGAGAAACCCAGGGGCTCAAGGAGGAAGAGGAGCCTCATGCTGCCTTCACATGCTCGTTGGAGCTGCAGACTGACCCCCGTCAGTGAGGGCATGCTGCACCTATAGAAACAGCCACTTCTCTTCCCGATTAGGCTTTTCTGAACTTTATTATATCTTTATTAGACCTGGACTTCCAAATGCTACTTATTATACTTGGACTTTCTCTCTTGCTTTCTTGAGCCATCATGCCTGGCACTTCTCATTAGCCTTTATAGAGATCCAAATTTGGCTCAACTGGTCCTCTCTACTGTGTCTATTGAGTCCATGGTGGGACATATAATTAAAGTGCTGGGCTGCTAACCAAAAGACTGTAGGTTCAAGTCTACCCAGAAACTTTTCAGGAGAAAGGCATGGTGATCTATTTCTGAAAAATCAGTCATAGAAAATCCTACGAAGCACAGTCTTTTTTGGAATTGACTCAACCACAACTGGTGGTGGTGGTGGATTGTATCTTCATTTCTAGTCAAGAAATTTCTGATTTTATCTTTAGTGCTTCCTTCCTTTTATTTTTATGTTTACTCCATAGTAAACCTAAATTGTTAATCTGCTTGCTTGGTTAGTTAATGTTTAGTTTTTCTTGCTAAAACAAGAATGGAAGCCTTAATATTTTCCTCCAGATACCATTTTAGCTAAAAGCCAGAAAGTTTTATGTACAGTGTTGTTGTTATTTATTTCTAACTACAGTTGACTCTTGAACAACATGGGCTTGAACTACGTGGGTCTACTTATATGCAGATTTTTTTCAATAAATGTATTGGAAATTTTTTTTGGAGATTTGTGACAATTTGATAAAACTTACAGATGAACCATGTAGCCTAGAAACATAAAAAAAATTGAGAAAAAGTTAAGCATGTCATGAATGCATAAAATATATGTATATATTAGTCTATTTTATCTTTTACTAGCTCTGGTGGTGTAGTACCTAAAGCACTTGACTGCTAACCAGAAGGCTGGTGGTACAAACCCACCAGCCACTCCTCAGAAGGAAGGTTGGGCAATCTACTTCTGTAGTGATACTGCCTCAGAAACCCAAGGAGGGGTTGCAATGGGTTGGAGACAACTCAATGGCACATAAGAACAATAACACCATAAAATATATACAAATCTATTTTTAAAAGTTATAGAAACTTATGCACACATAAACTGTACATGGTGCCATTTGTGGTCAAAATAAATGTAAACAGAGATGCAGTATTAAATCACAACTGCATAAAATTAACTGTGGTACATACTGTACCATGGTTGCTCTTGAGGTGAACTCACGTGCTGTAAGTACCTGCTTAAACTGCCATATGAGGTTAATCACATTCTCCTGAGTAGCTCATCTCTCCAGTAAATTGCATGGTGTAGGAAAATGTGATCAGCTCATCTCTCCAGTAAATTGCATGTTGTAGGAAAAAGAGATCTCTTGCTGTTCTCATATATTTTTCATCATGTTTAATCCAATACTATAAACGTTGAGTAACACCATAGGACCCATACAAAGTGCCACTAGTGATGCAGGAAGTACTCCCAAGAAGCAGAGAGAAGTCATGACATTACAAGAAATAGTTGAATTGCTCAACATGTACTGTAGATTGAGGTCTGCAGCTGCAGTTACCTACCATTTCAAGATACATGAATCCAGCATAAGGACCACTGTAAAAAAAGAAAGAAAGAAAGAGAAATATATGAAGTCATTGCTGCAGCTGAACCACCATGTTCAGAAACCTTG